AGTATGTAAATATATCAGAATGCACTTTCTATTGATTTAATGCTTACAATTTATCTACAACTCAACTTTGTCAATTTTTAATTTTGCATGTGCTATTATTTGCAGCACAATAGCTATGCTCTATCTTAGAACATAATTGGTTTGCAATTTTTTACATAGACTTTAAAGCTGAGCCGAGAAATAGGAAAGAAGACTAAGAAATAATTAATTAATAAATTAAAGTTGCAGAATCTAAACTGCTCAGGATTTATTATACCACTTGGGATCACCTATCTTTTCCAATGAACTGCCTAGCATAGTTAAAACAGCCTTGGTTTTCCTCTTCTACCTTCATGTTTTTCTTTCCTTTCTTCCTTATTTCAATTGCTTTTGCTGCTGCCTTAATTCATAGTTAAGCTTTCAAGGTAACTTTTTTTTTCTTCTTTTATTCTGAAAAAAAATTAATTTAGACAGAAAGAATTAACTCTTTCTCTTTGTATTGAAATGATAAACAGGAAAAGACAAAAAATGGATATTCTTTAGCACTGAGTAAATACAGCATTAGTGGTGGAAGCAATTCAGACTATAAAATCCCCAAATCTTTTCCTTGCTAATGTTTATTAAATTAATATTTGTTTCCTTATGATTTTTTTCTTCCTTTATATTTGACCATTAATTATAAAGATAAGAAAATGATTGGGAGGAAATGAAATGATAGAGTGTTAGAAATGCAGAAGGATTCAAAATATTAATGTAATGCTAAGGATGACTGCGTAACAAATGGTACATTTGCCAGTATGCTTGACCTGACGCAATTAATATTCCAGGTCATGCTTGGGTTTCCATGATGGAAGGTCTGAGGCAGAGAATTCCAGGGGAAAATATATCTATTTCTCTCTCTCACTTTTTTTTTTTTTTTTTTCTTTTCCCTGACAAGTCAGAACCATCATCTTAAAAAAAAAAAAAAAAAAAATCTCTGCTTTCACACCTCATTTGCCATATTCACCACTGGGCCACCTTTCACCAGAAGGGCCTGATGTAAGGAGGTCAGTAAGAAGCTATTAGCAGGGTCCCCTCCTGAGATTTCTTTGGTCTTATTGAGGTGGAAGTTGGCATGACAGTACTGCAAATAACTCAGCTGTAAGTTTTTTTAACAGTTAGCACAGATTTCCCCATAGTGTTTGTCACTTTAGAAAATTGTTCCTGGAAATGAAGTACTGAAAGCTTTGACAGAGACCCTTCTTAGTGTTGAAGAGCATGAGTACAGAAAAATGTGTAATTTTCCCTGTAGACCAGAGGTACTTTTTTGTAATCTATGGTAATATTTTGGAGTGTTACATATTTTCTTATGCACTAAAGGTGGGGAAAATATTGAAATCACAGTATGGGGTAATATCCAAGACAGATACTTTTCTACCATTGAAAAAGGAGCATTAAGTACAGTGGTTTTGTGGTTGAGAGAATATTTTATCAAAGTAGGAAAAGAAAATTAAGTAATGTTTTTAATACATTGTATTTGTCTCAAGAAGATATGCAAATGTATTAAGTACCAAATTTGATCCCCCAAATTCTTAGATTTCTGTAGACTGCCAGCTCCCTGCAGAGGACAGATTGAATAGAGTATTCATCACCACATTACACAGTGCAAGAAATTCCTAAAACAAGATTAAAACTTGCAGAGATATTAAAAAAAAAAAAAAAAAAGAATGGAAGCAATTTTTCCAGGGGTTGATCTAAACTGGAAAGTAGAATCAAACTCATCCCCTTGTCTCTCCTACCAAACTTTACCAGTTTTAAATCTAGGCCTAAGCTTACCACAAATTTTGGGGAATTTAGTATTAATTTTATCTGTCTAGATACTAACTCTGTTGATTGCTCTGTTATGTGTCTTGTTGAATACTTCAACATATATAATTGAAATGTAAAGTAGTTAACAAGGATTGCTTGAAAAATCATAATTTAAATATGTGGTTTGTAATCAATTTTGACCCAGATCTTACAAAGAGTTTTACTTATAGAAGAAGCAAAATCTTTTAAAGTGTCTGGTTGGCCTCTCTAAACTACAAATCCATTTTCATAGTTGATATAATATCTGTATGCATTTAACCTGAGAGTATGTAAAAAAAGGGCAACAAAAGATGATTCTTTGTTAAGACACCTTTTCAGCAATAATACGTCCAAAGACACTGAATCAATGGATTTCCACATTTATTATGGTTAATTTTGGTTTCATTAAAAGTGCTAAAAGCCAATTTTAGTAGTGCTCTTGGTGATATTCAGTAGCATTTCACAGTGTTTGAACCCTTTATGAACTATAGCTTTTTATTACTGCCAAACATTTAATCAAAGAAGCACAAAAGATAATATACTCAGTATTTTGATAGAGATTGCAAAATGCAGTTTCAGAAAGCCATTTTGCTCATGGAGACACACTATCTCTTAGTGTGACTAAAAGAAGTACCTAGACAGAACATCAATTTAAAGTTATTCTTGCATTTAATTCTTCAGAGGGGGAACATTTAAATTATTTCAGATATTGTATTTTTTATTTTGGAGTAACAAACACAAACCCCAAATCAGTGTTATGCAAGTTGAAATAATCTAATACTTTAATTTTTTCAGTAAAAATAAATGAAAATATTTCCTTCTCAATTTGCTCTTCAGCATTTTTAGTTTAGTTTTGTTTTTTTTTTAAGAAAAGGCTTAAAAAGGGGTGTAGATTTTCAGAAGACTCAGCCTTGATCAGGATTTGTTACCAAACAACAAATCCATGCCTGTGAACTTTAGAGAGTTCCTATTATGCCTTGGTGTTTTCTTTCAGATCGCCCTGATTCTCAGTGATGAGCATGGAGATGTTTCTCTTCTGGACAATATTTAAATTTTCAGTGCCATTATTACTTTCTATAAAATATGTGTTCCACAGACCTACCATGAAAGCAGGATCTCTTCTCATGGCTGAGAACTCTGCACACTTGTGGCATGGCTAGAACACAATCTCCACAGCTAAAAATGGATGGTGTAAGGGGTGGGGGGGGGGGGGGTGGGGGGGGAAATGAAGGATCAACACAGTTAGTAGTTCAGTGAAATATGTAAAAAAGGTTATTATTTTTCTATTTACTGTCATCAACACAGTGAAGACAAAAAATTAATTGGTCATAAGGTAGATCCAAAGGCTGTGGTAGGACTAATGAGTGAAGAGGTATAATGACCATGGCATAGAGATGGTTTGTGTATCTCAGCAAGGGATATTATTTGTGTGAATCTAATGTATTCCTTTTGTATGGAATTTGTGTTGACTGTGACATTTTATATTTGAGAGAACTTGTGTAACAAGTATATGGTGTAACTGCATCCAGTACTTGTGAGGGAGTGCAATAAATCCCAAGGCAGGACATGGAACATGTCATTATGTAGTACTTACAGACCACCAAGTGGTCACAGGCAAAACTCTACTGGGCTGATAAGAAAATTGCAATATAACAATGCATGAAGTACTATGCAAATAATAACAACATAAGAAAAGTCTATATCTTTATGAGATGTTTAAGTGAGTAAGAGCCAGATCTGCAGAACAAAAGATTAAGTTGCAGCTGGACTTTACAGATCATAGGGATGGACCTGGAATTTCACATTCACTCCAGTGACTCTGCTTGCCTGCTGTTTGAAGCATGAATCTCTGCCTAATTCTAATTTAACATCCTGAAGAGCTGAAGGAACAACCAGTGGTTTTTTGGCATGCATATGTTTTCACAGCTCACCTCTATTCATGTCATCTTTCCTATTGCACATTGTGCCCATTAGTGAAACAGTTTGTAGGGTTTGCTCTAAGAAGGAAACAAAAACAGAGGACCAAAATAAATTATCTTTAGACTCAAATAACTTAGAGATGAAGAATGTAGCTCTTAAATTTTGAACAGCCCAACACTATTTTGAATAAGCTAACATCTCTGAATACTTTTGTCTATTGGACATTATGTTTTATATGTGCCTTATTTAATTGTTTTGACACAGGAAACTGGAATTTCCCAGCAGGATATGTTAATGAAAAATGCATTAGAGCTCATTGGGGAGAGTTCTGTCCTCTCAGCCCTAAGAGCTTAATACTTTATGAGGAGGCTGATGCCCTACACAGTTTTCTCATGGGCCCTCAGTAGTGCTCCAAAGGAGCAATACAAAATTTTAAACATTTACTCTTTTCCTTTACTTTCTCTGCATCTTGAAACCAATTTCTTTTCCTACTACTTTTATTCAAGGTTTATTAATAATTAGAATTATGTTAAAAGCAAAGGACAATATATTTTAACTGAGCAAGTCTACTTTGAAAGTTTTAGTCTACCTTTGTAGAAAATATAATTATCTTTAAAGCAATCAGTGTCTTTAAATAATTTTTTGTATGTTTTAATCATATGTTATGTGTTTTACGGGAAATTTAGTGACTGTGCAATATGGAAAAGGAATTCTCATATTTAACAGTTCATTCAGTAAACTAACATATGTCTATTTGGGAATTGTTTATATACAACTGATAAAATGCCTACATATATAGGTATGATTTGGGAACAGTCTGTCACAAAATTTTGACTTGCCAGATATTCACAAATTGTTAATGATGTAGGTTACTAAAACAGAATTTGAAATGTGTATTTTATATTAGCAAACGTTATATTATACCACACTAGCCATACAATTAGTAATATAAAATAAAAAAGAAGTATAAAATTCAGTGGCAAAGGTACCTTTCTATTTTAGTCACAATTTCGAAATCATTGTGCTAAATTTTTGTTTTTCACATGTTTTGTTCTATTAAGTCTAAACACATTGTAATAGTTATTCAGGAATTTATTGTAGACTTTTTTTGAGACAAAAAGCAATTATTGGGTTTTGGTATTCTAAAAATTCCCTTCTATTTCTCCTTAACTAATGACTGTTTTACTTTTAAAAGTGCACTGTCTGATTTTGTTGCTAGTGTATGTAGAAATTTAAATGAGTTGAAGTCAAAGATAATCCCATTTTCTGCTCAGATTCCAGGCATCTACAATTCACCACTCAGGAAATCCCCAGATCCAATGGAACTGCTGCTACAGAAGTCAAAGCCACTGACCCACAGAAAGCAGCCAGTGAAGAGCCCCTTTGCTGATGAGCTCTATGGATGGCCAACATGTAAAGAGCCTCCAGCTTTTGTCACATCACTGCCTCTGCTACATGCTGACAGACGGAAACCTCAGGTAAAGTGTTCCAGTGACTCTGCAACAGCTTTTGCTCACATCTTTTATCATAGATTATCTTGAGTTGGATCATCAGGTCTGAAAATTCCTTTTGTGAAGTTTTTTAAATTATAAATCTAGTACTTGCATTGAAGATACAGAGTCTTTGACACAGATTGGACTTAAAGAAAAAAGAAATCTAGGTGTTACATAGAAACAGGGAAATGTAATTCTTTATATGTTGTTTTTGTCCTTTGGGAAGAAAAGTGTAATTTATGATATTTCAAAGGTATGACTTCATATAATTTAGCATCAATATTATGATTAATTAGAGCTAGAATTCTAAATTTCCAATCTTCAATCATTAAAAAAAGAGAAATGAAAGGTGATAGGAAAAATTAAGTAGTTGTGATAACTTTGTCCTCAGTTTGCAATTGTTTTCTGTATGAAAACTGAGGCATCCTCTCAGTTCAGAATAGTTCCTGCTCTCTTGTGTTCACTAGATGTGTGGGAGCTTTAATAACAAAATTTTCTACATGTCTGCTCCATCACAGCCAATTTACCCAGCTTCCATTATTAATTCTCATGGTCTCAATTTTAACTTCAGGTGACGTCACTGTATCTTACAGGTAGATTTTTTTCTGTTCTGTGAAGTAATGGACATCTGTGAGATAATGCATCAAAGCAAATGTCTCACAAGATGGCAAAACAGCTTTTGCCACCTTATTATCAAAACATGTTGGGAATGTGACCAATTTATACAGCAGACAATCTTGAGAATTTGTGTTCCACACTTGATGACAGTTGGATGACATGGTGCCTTATACAAGTACTTTAGGCATAGAAGTATTTTGTCTTTCCCACTATTCTGAAGAATTTTTCAGTTTGCCAGTCTACTGAATCGTCTACTTAGCTCACACATACACTTTCCATGCTGGTTTCACTTTGAGTGACCATCCTCAGAATCTCTGACATTTTCCTTTCTGTACTCCATTGTATATTTAAATTTCCTTATCTGTAGCTTGCTTAGAACTATTTATAGATGAATCCTTCTTAGCAACTTTCAGTGAAACTATCACCTATCTGCAGAAATGTAACAAATTGAGCAATAAGCAATATATTTATAAATCTTTAATGGTGTTTTACTCCTCTGAATCAATAGCTCTCCACAACTCTCTGGAAAGAGGCTGTAAGCCAGGTGCAGGTTGGTTTCTTTTCTCAGGCAACCAGTCACAGGACAAGGGGACATAGCATCAAACTGTACCAGGGAAGGTTCAGGCTAAACAACAGGAAGAATTTTTTCACTTAAAGGTGGTCAGGCATTAGAACAGGCAGACCAAGGAGCCAGTGGAGTCACCATCCCCAGAAATGTTCAACAAATCAGTGCCCATGGCACTTAGTGTTATGGTTTAGTTTGACAAGGTGGTGTTTGGTCAAAGATTGGACTCAATGAATTTGGAGGCCTTTTCCAACCTTTATGATTCTATAATTCTAAGAAGGTCTGTGGTTCTGTGATTCTAAGAAGGCCTGTGAGAATACCTCTGGAGAAGTAGAGGTGAGCCCACTGCTTATAACAGTAAGAATCAACTTCAGTGCAGTTCTCCACCTTTGTCCTTCCTTCCTTGTATTTTTCCTAGCCTGACTGCTTGAGATTCCTCGTAGAACGACCTCATTGACTCACATTAGAATTGAGACAAAGTGTGACCCAACAAGCAGTTTGGGTGATCAGGGAGTTTGGAGTTGACATAAACATTCCATTATGGCTTTACCTTCTGGGACCAAGGGGGCTATGACAGTCCTTGAGCAGGATGTGATTGGTTCCATTGTCTCTCAGGATAGAGAAAAGCTTTTGCCTTATGAGCATGATGCAGGAATCAGGCTTTTAAATAAATAGGAAACTCACAGTTCTTCCATTGTTAAAGTGCTCTTGCAAAATTGCTTTACTATATACAAAGTATCTTACAAGCTTCTTCTTGGATTTGGGATATTTTATAGACCTTTCTAAGTTCAGACACACACACAGCAGTCATGCACAGATAGCCTTTTAGAACAAACCAGAAGGGTTCTGTTTGTTTTCTGCACCTCAAAGAGGGAATTTACTATATAATACTTTAATCCTTTCAGCACCCTGGGATGTACACTGTGGGGTAAATTTTCAAAGCACAGCGCGTGGATTTAGCTGCCCGACTCTTATTGATGTTAATGGGAGTCACACGGCTAAATCCCTGCACAACACTTTGACAATTTAGGGTTGTATGTCTAAGAAAAGGACACTGGTTTGAGCTGATGAAACAGCTGGAAATGAAAATCCATCAGAACACATCATCCTGAAAGTTGTCTGGTATGACCATAAGAAATTTAATTGCTAGATATACTTGTGTCCTCATTCTTTGTAGTAACACTTTTTGGCACCAAGCTTCCTTTTCTAATATCTGCCTGGATCACTTATTACTTTTTTTCAGGTATCTAAAATTTTTCTTGCTCCTAGGTTTGGCTATTTTATACGATGGCAATTATATATGTTTAAAAGAAAAAAAATTAACTATCTTTCAGTTTTCTCTTAGGGGAAATGGGTATGTAGCATTTAATAGTAAGCTCTGTATAAGTAAGATAGTGTATTTAAAAGAAAGGTTTTAATGATGCTTCTACATCAGTTAGATCTATCATTTTTATTACTGAGTTAACTAGAATTATAGTTTGATAGAAACATGGATAATGCTAAAATTAGTCATCTATTCATTAAAAGGCATTAATAACAGAATGCACATTACCATTTAGATCTTTTGCATGCTGTTATCTGTTGTGGAATGGGGACAGTGAGGAATGCATAATTTAATGCAGATTGTACTTTTATCATGAGTTTCTGAAGTTATGATAAAATAGTAAGAACGCTAATCTGCTAACCTTTATTTGGCAAACCAGTTGGTATCAAGATTTATGCTACTCAGTACAAATTCCAAACATAGAGCATAGAGCTGTGTGAGTTTCCTTCAGGGTAAACATTGTTGGTTGGCTCCTACCCTTCTTTTCCTAGCCTGACCTCCCCATAAAGATTTCCATTTTGAAGCAGGATGCCTGAAACACTTGCAAGCATTGTCAATTTGAAAACATTTTTAAGCATCTATCTACCAGAGTTTCCACAAGTTTTATTCCTGTATAATGGAAATAGACACATGGACTTTTTAGAAGTCTTCATTTAAGATACATTCCTGAGTCCCTATTACTAAGTAAATTTTTTAAAATACATTTTTCAGAGGAACAGAAAAATCTTCAGGGAATGTTTAGAATTATCTCAGTATTTTAATATATATACTCTGCTTTCATTAGTGATGTCACAGCTTTATTTTGAGGGAATTTGCTTTGTTACATCCTTTCCCCCCCTCCCTCTATTAGTAGTTGTAATTTTATTTAAACTATGGACTGGATTTTTTTCCTGTATCTGCCTCCTAGATAGGTCTCAGAAATTAAAGAGGGATAAAACCTCTTGCTTGGATATCTCATTTGGCTGTTATCCTGGAGGAATATGAGTCAATACTTTTCAGTGAATAAATAATACAATATTCTGAAAGACTACTTTTAAAAGCAAACATATTTTTCTTGGTGTTATTTGGTAATAGTACATGTCTTCCTTCCTCCATATGTCCACTTAATGTAAATATCTTGTAACAGAATATTCAATTTTTATTATAAATTTTAAACTTTTTTATAACTTGGTTATCAGGTTATGTACTCCTAGAACACTGTTGATGAGTTTCAATTACCTGTTCTAATAGTGATGAATCTCTCATGGGTGGTAGCACTTTTCTTTCTGTTTTAAGACTTTTGTGTTCTTTTAAAATGAATATATTTCTCATGCAGACTATGAAAACAGAAGCAAGAAAATATCTGCAAGGAGTGTAAATATTATGCTCATTTGCTTACTGGGACCTTTAAAAAGATCTCCAAATCTTGGTACTGTGCCTTTAAAAAGTAAAGTTCCAATAAAAATCCATTAACTACTTTTAAATATAGCAATCCTCCTGTCCAGCTGTGAAAAGTACTAGATGATACTTATTTGCCATTTGTGTTATTTACGGTCCATGACTTTTATGGTAACTGGTTCCTATTATTGGTTTCTATTAATGTAAAACATAAGTGAACATAAATGAGGCGTGAATCATTTCTTTTTATTAGCCCCACAGTCTTCACTCAGTGCTTGCAGTAACTCCAGCTGTGACTTGTTAGTGATAACCTATTTAAAGAAGGATATCTTTAAGAATAAAGGCTGTGATTAGGATTCTTTGTCTGTTCATAATTTCAAAAGGTTTCACTAGTTCATTGCGAGATCAACAATGATGAAGATAAAAATTAATTTTAATACTTCTAAGCCCAGGCTTGCCATTAAACTGCCATGAGTGACACACGCACTAATTATATTCCAGGTAAGTCCTTAAGGGTTAATACTAGAAGTGAGACATATAGGATATGCCACTTCAGCAGCACAGGAGAGGACTTCCTGCTGCTATTTATCCATGTTATTAAATGGTAGATACTGATACAATCAGTTATTAAACAATATACTCTGGGGGAAAAAAAGACGTGTGTATTTTTTAAGAATCACAAAGTTAATGTGAAATTAGACCTTTCAGAAATGGACTATATGCCTATAGTACTGAAGTCATGCGTTTGAATTCTATTAGAAGAATCATATCTTAAGCCATGCATTAGGTTCCCTTTCAGTTGGGTTTATAGTTACATTGAAAAGAGCATGTTCTTTAAAGTTTGTTCTATGCAAATTAAAATACTTAATTTTTCTGCTTAAGCAGAATTTAGATATAGTTAATGCTTGTCTTTTATTTCGCCAATATTTTTTCTAAGTAAAACCGAAATTTTCCTAACCAGTTCTAATGATATATTTGTTTAAAATATTAAGTATTTATTAGTAGTTAAATAAATTTGGAGTGCACTCTCTTTGAAGCTCTAGAGTATCTTATCAACCTTTATGATATTTGCAAGTCTCTGTCAAAATGAGCAGTTGTAATTATTTTAATTATTTGCTACACTTCCCAAACATTCTGTGTCCTGTTTTATCAGCAATCTGCCATGAATAAAAGATGCAAAGAAAGTAACTGTAACCCCAACAGAGCACTTGTATTATCCTACACCTTCCAGGGGCCTTTCCGTGATCCTGCTGAAGTGCTGCGGCAGCGCTACAAGCCTTTGGAACCAACCCTGCGAGCGAGAGAATCAATGTACTCAGCACCAGGCAAGGCCAGAGAGCCAACACGAAGGGAGGAATGGAGAAATCCCATCCATGACAATGAGTGAGTTCTTTGGTTCTTCTTATATTGTTGTGAAAATGTTTCCTTTGTTCCGTTGCTTTCAGAAACCTTTCATGCCTGACAAAATGAAATGTCAATCTTGACAGCTTACTAGAAAACATTTTATGTATATACTTCTAAATTCTGTGTCCTCAAATTATAAACTGCTCAGGGCAGAGACCCTATCTTGTAATTGTGTGACATGTGCCATCCATATCTAGGAGTGTCTAAAAGAACTTGTAATAATAATAATAATATGTGATGCAACAGATGGCTTTAATAGGGAATAAGAAAACAAATGCAAATTCTGTCTTGCCACATGCACCTTGCCAAGGAAAAAATACTGTTTCAAGCTTCATATTTTGGGAGCTTACTGGTTATGAGAGGAAAAAAATGGTGTTGCATGCCAATGAGACTTGTTTTCTCTCCCAGAAGAGTACCACAGCTTACTTGGAAGGGGAGGGAGCATATGTTGCGTGTTAGAACATGATACTAAAAACTAGAATAATCTTTGAAGCAGTTTGATTTCCTAAGCCACAGCAGCTGCAATAGTGTCAGACAGGCCAGTTCTTCTCCATAAAATGGCAAATACAGGCATAATCTACCCCAAAAGATTAAAGCTTCTGTCCCAAAAGATTTAAGGCTGTGGCCAAAATATTTCCATTTTTTTTAGCACGATGGCTGTTAAACACTGTTTTATCAAATCATAATTAAAGCCTGCTAACTCACTTTCTCTGGCTTTGTAGTTAACTAGAAAAAGAATTATGTTTTGCCAACCTTTTCCTTGAATTCACTGCTCTTGACAATCCTTTGGCCTTTCAGAATTCAGGACAGAAGGGAATCCCTTTTCCTCATGAGCAGCCTGTGATTACTGGCACATGATGTTTTGCTATCTTTGATCTGTTTCGTGCCTTTTTATCAGCTCCATATTGCTATGTGTCAGCTTCAGGATTGGGACTTAAGAGTGCCAGAATCAATTGTGTTTACATGGTTTAACTTCTATGTTTTTATTGTTGGACCATTTTCCCCAATTTAATATTAATGGTATTTTTGAATTATAATTCTATTCAGAAACCATTTTGAAATAAAAAAAAAATATTTTATTAAGACTACTTTTTCACTTTTGGACAATGTTTTTGGTGAGTTTTTTTGTTAGTTCGTTTTTAGTGGTTTTTATTTGTTTTTTTGTTCAGTGAGAGATAACACTTTTTATTCCTTTCATACCAAAATCATACTGGAGTTCAGTTACAAGTACAAATGTACTCCCCTTTTCTATTTCTCTCTGTATTCTTCCATGTATGTGTGTGAGGAGGAGGAAACAGCTTAATTTTCACATCTCAGCATAAATTTCTACCTTTTTTTCATCTTTGTATCAAATTTCTGCTGGTGAAATTTAGAAGAACCCCTACCACTAGGTAGTAATTAATACTCTAACTCTTATTTAAAGTGTTTTTGTCACTGAATTAGTTGTGATTGATGCATTCCAACTGAGGATAGATTACGTTCTTCATTTATAGGCATGACTACATTGCCTAGTCTTTATTTGATGAAGTTTACCCCAGACATTACTGTGTCAACACTTTCAGAAGGTCAGACCTTGCAATAAATGTTTCACTGACTCTTCAGTGAGGGAATTGTGAAGATTTGGTCTTGTACAGTTTAAATTGAAGCCTCCAAATTTGGTAGATATTATTTGATGTGGGGTCTTTATTTACTTTATGGGTAAGGAAGCATTTAATAACATCCTTAATGCACAGAAGCAATGTCCCAACAATCAATGATTCTCAGCTTCATGCACACTAAATGCAGAGTGTATTATACATTTTCAGGCTGTGATCATTCCATTTGTGCTTCTTATTCAACCAGCCATGCAAGGGTCACATCTGTAACCTTGAAAAGGTGATGACAGAGCTGCAGGTCATCGCCAGGACTAATGCTCACTGGTAATGCTGCAGCTGCTGCGGGGGATGTTGGTCTCCAGGGAGAAGCCAGCAAAGGGTTACTCAGATTCTACAGCAGTTTTTTCTCAGCAGTGTCTATTATGAATTGACAAATTTCTGTTTCTTGCTATGTAATTGTGTACTTTGGGACTTTATTTCTTCCTGGTAGTGCTTCCTATGCTGATTGTTCTTCTGTTTTAGAAAATAAAGAGAGAATAAGCAGCAGAAGTATGTGGCATGTGTTGAGAAAGCTTGTGTTTGCATGAATGACTTTTACATTGATATGTATATTTCCAGAGTATGTATTGTGTGGGGTCTCTTAAGACAGAAAGATTGTTGGCATGTACCTGAAGTTTTCAGCAACATTCAGAATTCTCACACACCTCTAATTATTAGTGGTTGTTTACCGGATGATAGGATGAGTGTTGCAAGCTCTGAGAAAGTTCTTGCTTTTGATAAAATGCACAAAAAAATTGGAAAAGCTGTGAGAGAGTTTGAGGCAGGCAGAAGCAGTACAAATGAAACCAAAAGAGAATATACTGTGCTTACTTAAAGCAACTGCTGGAACTTTTCTGTAATGGAAAAGCAACTGGGTAATCCAGCCTAATAAGAATGATTCCTTTTTCCAATGTAATTGAAGCTGTTACTACCTTATTGTGCTATTTTTCATACAAATGAAGTAATTTCCCCCTCCACTTGGATAAGAATGACAATTGCATTCCTTTGGGATGGCCACTTAATATAGTATCTAGTTTGAGACACCAACTGCTGGATCCAGCAGATTAAGATGAAGCATGAAAAGTTCTTTCCTCAGTTGTGTGCAGCCGCATGCTGGCCTAATTTTCCAGTGAAAAAAAATGTAAATTATTTTCATTAACTTTGATGAAATCTGTCTTATATAATATGCCTCATACTTCGAAGTATACTATTAAACATCTTTATGAAGTCAAGAAACATCAGAACGAGATGCAGTGTGGTGATAGCAATAGTGTAAGGCACAGGTTTCCTAACTTATTGAAGTCTTCTGGTGTGACATCAGAAACATTATCTCAGCTTCTGACTGTGTCTGTGCTCAGTGCTGTGCTGGGCATGCACAGTCTGGTCCTGGCTCACTAGTGTGCAGCAATGTTTGCACATCCTGCCTCTTCTCTTCTGTGTGAGTACAGCAGCACCCAGCTCCTCATGGGCTTATTTTCAGCAAGATTGTGCTTTTCGTTAGAACAGCTGTGGTGCTGCTGTGCTGCCCTGTGCTAGGCAGGACAGATACCCTTGCAGAGACATTAGTGACCTAAATAAGCTCTGTACTTGGAGAGCACCAATGTTATGAGCGGCTTGGTATTAATTGTAAGAAAAGTTAAAATCCAAGTCACTTTAAGATTTAGAATCTTAAAAAAAAATCTTTTAATTTCTAGAGTTATAAAATCTTTTACTGTATTTCTGACTTAGCTGCAGTGAAAATGGCTGCTACAACACATCTGAAAACTTTTTAAAAATTATTTTTAGTTTGTCATATGCTTTGCAACTTCAGCAATTTGCATATTTTCTGGACTGTTATTGTATTATGATAAACAGGGATTATCATATATTTTCAGATAATGTTTTCTTAACAATTCAACTTCTATTTGTAACTCTTCCATTTATTTTAATTACTAGCACAGTGTGCAACATTTATTAATCAGCAGAGTCTTTTTAAGTTAAAATACTAAATTAGCTAACCCCATTAACACAGAATACTCCAAACAAGCAGTAATAGGAGAGGTAGTTACTGTGCAAATCGTATTATACATGCGGGTGCTCTAGGGCACAGTTAAGCATGATTACCCTCTTTTGATCCAGTATTCCTCTGCTTCTTCCAGCTAATTTCCACTGGAAATTTACAAAGTAGCGCCTTCATTTTTCCATCTTAATTTTTCTAATGAAGTTCTGGTACTTTATAACACTGGGGATGCAGATAATAAGTCTGTGTATAATTAAGAAGTTCCAGAATTTGCTGCAGAAGAGATCTCTTTTACATCCTACAGGAACTAGGCTGTGCTTTTATTTGCCACTTTACATTGTCGCAGACAGGAGTTAAATAAAAGTGGCCAGAGAAATTTTAGATTTACTGATATTGCAATCAAAGTGATTGATACTTTTTCAATAAACTGTGCATTTATTACGTTACCAGAAACAATATTTGTACTAATGCACCCAAGTAGGCTTCTCATGGCAAAAACAGTGCACTAAAGATAATATCACTAGATATGCTAAATAAAATATTCCATCTTTATTCTTGTATCTAACACTTTGATTTTAATATACATGCTTTATAAACTAAATAATGTCTGCCTTGCTGCAGTTGTTTTGCTATGGAAAACCGTTATGCTTCCTTCTTTATTCCCCAAGTGAAAAGATTTGATTTGATGAAAAAATTACTTCAGGTATAATCCAAATTTGAAAGCTTAAAATTAATGATGTGTTTTATTAAAGAAAAAAAAAAAAGAAGATAAAATATTCACAGATTCCTGATAGAGAAGCATGGCATGTTTGGAGCTAATTGTTCATGGAGTTCTTCAAAGCGAGATAAATTTGAATTAAATCAAGACAACAAAGAATTGAATTGCTGTTGTATAAAAACACTTCAGATAAAAATTTAACAATGTCATAGAGTTAATATTTACCTGGCATTTTTCTACTAAATTGCAAAAATGTACAGTACATACAAATGTGAAAGTTTGAAAAGCCACGTAACAGTACTCTTTTATATTTCTACATGTGCCCTGGAAGTGCAGCATGTGTGGCAGTCCAGCAGTAGATCTGGCAGTTCTTTCTCAGAAGCCTGGGTATGTTTTGAAGCATTTCTGGGATCAGGATCACCTGCTTGCTCCAGTAGACTGCTGGGATTTTGCCTCTTGGGCAGGTTCAGAGAACATGCTGAGACACCAGTCTGGTTTTTTGTGGCCATTTAAATTTCAATAAAAAGTTGCTGCCTCTGTCCTGTGTTGTACTGGTAGGTTCCATGCCCAGCAGTCAGTGATGGACCTGAGAAATTCTTCTTCCTGCTTGTGCTGCTCTGCTCCTCTCACACTGCCATAGGCACCAGAAACCAGCTCCTGCTGCTGCTTCTGTCATCTCTGTCAGCCCAACTGGAAAACTTTCAGTACCTAAAAGCCTTTTCCATCTCCTGTCAAAATAGTGAGAGAGATTGCAATAAAAGAGGCAGACTAAATGGAAGAAATGGTAGGTGAGGAATGTAGGAACAAAAATCATGGAGGGGGACTGTAAATGTGTGAGGGAAGAAAAGGGTTGGAAGGATGAAATTAATAGTAGAAGGAAGGTCCAGGAGAGGATGAGAGATAAAACAATTTTAATTTTTGTTAGCAACAAATATCTATGGTGTCTTTGAAATTTAAATACCTCTAGCAGCTGTTTGGCTACTAAGAGAAGACTTTTAGGTCTCTTTAGGCTAATTAGGTTGAATATAGCAGGGTTCTAGCAACAGTGCTGGTGGCCTTCATCACCAGTGACAGAGCCAGCCTTGGTCCTGGTCCTTCTCAGGCTATCTATGAGTAGTACTGCCACTTGTAGTTTCCCGTGTTTAGTTCCAACCCTTTCACCATTTTGATTGTATTCTTTGACATATTTCTCATTCAGTCCAATATTAATTATTTTTTAATTTTTCAATATATTTCTTTAGGGAAAATTAATTAAAATTAATGATTTAGGGAAAATTAAACCTTCTATTAAATAATCTTTTGGTAAGTCTCAGCTTGTACTGATTTTTTCTTATAGCCAAAGAAAACATCAGTACAGAATTTAATTCTTCTTTGATTGGCACTTGTGTCTCTGTCATGTTTACTGAAACCCTTTAAGAATTTCTGAATTTACACTTAAATCACAAGGAAAAGCTGAACACTAGATGCAGGAATAATGAGTGAATGTTTTGAAATCTGAACTATTGAAATATAAACTTGTACAGTTGATAATGTTATCCTACCATTGTCTGAATTTAATGTTCTTCCATCACTCTCTTCTGTCACTTTCAAAGCACGTATTGTCATTAATTTTGGGAAAAGCTGTGTCAGGTGTATACAAAGAGCTACAGACCATAATACCATTACTGAAGTATTTTGCAGTGCTATTACTTCTTGTTATTATTATTGGTTGGGGGGCTATAATGACTTTGGTATTGCTCCCATTAATTTGGTTACCCTACTTAACATGAAAACTTGTTGTAATTCTTTTAATTACTTATTCACATAATGTAAATTCTCACTTACTTTAAGAAGCCACCGAATTTACAAGCATGTGATCCTTTCTTGTTGCTAGGGCATCATCACTTCAAAGATCTGCCCCCTGACTCTGAGAGCAGAACTGTAGACAGAAGAAAAATCTTCTACTTGATACCTTTATACCCTATTAAATGTTTGTTATTTCATTTAAAAGAAAATACTGCTAATTGTGTCTCAAAGTATTAATTTTGGTTTTTTTAAATTAGAAAAATACCTACATTACTCTGAGAATTTTTTGCCAGAAAGACAGAGATTAACTGATCCACAGAAAAATCAAAACCTCTATGCAGAAAATTTTTAAGGAAAATGATAACAATTTTCTTCTACTTTCCTCAAGATTTTTAAATTATTTTGTGTATAAATTTTACAGACATGATATTCATATTAAATTATGAATGCTATGGCTGAACTAAATTCTGTGCATATATGGGTAAATCCCAAAACTGCAAGCCTTGTCTTCTCAGCTATCCAATCCCCTGAGAAAGCCAATTTTCTTTCATGTCTGAACAAAAGAAAAATGTACTATTAAAATGCAATTCAGAAGTGATAAAAACTGCAAGTGGAGCAGCCGGCTCACAGCACCTTCGATGTATTCTCTGGGACACTGGGGCCACATTAATTTTTGTGTGTGTGTGATGTCCATCCCATGTGCAAATTAGCATTACAAGTACCCTAATCTGTCTTGTGTGAGGGTGTCCTTTCCCATGGGTATACACATGCTACTATAGCTTTTTATTATTTAAAATTCTGCTAACTCAGGGTTTTCCTTTCACTAACTTTACATGGCATTTGTTTGTGGCACATGATAGAAGAAGTTGATACAGCTGGAAAGATTCTAAAACCATTTCTTTTTATGAGGCGGAAAGAAAGAGAAATAATTTTTAAAAACCCTTATTGTTGATAAATCAGTCAAAATAAATAGTTTTCTTCATCTGTATCAGCTGAGAGATGAAGAAGGGTATTTTAATCCTCATTTTTATATAAAAATTTTGTTTGCCTAACTCTTACAGGGACTCTGGATTCTGAAAAGCTTTCAGCTAAGGAAGCGTTGTAATTAACTGTACTTCTTCATGACATTTAAAAGTCATGTTTTGGACTTCTGAAGCATGTCTTTTTAATTTTACTGAGTATTATTTTTTCCTGCACATCTAGAATTAGGAACACATGTTGATTTCTTCAGAATAACAACAATGATAAACTTAATTCCAAGTGTTTTATTTTATAGTAAAATGTACTTGTTTGCTCTTATGACTCTCCTGGAAACTGAAATAGATGGAACTAAGATGTGTTTGTAGAGTGTCTTGCGGATCTTCTATATACAAGGTCTGAAAGATGTTTTTCACTTTCCTTCATACAGTTTGCTGTGGAACCTACCCAAAAAACCTGTGGTTGTCCCTGACAATTAGGGACATCCATCTGAAAGCCCCTTCCAGCAGGTAGCTGGAGCTTCACTGCTCGCTGGCATTATATAAGGAGCAAGTCCATCATCGTTATCACCAAAAATGAAAGAACCTGGCTCAAAAAGATTGCTAATTAGGACATAATTATAACTTAAGTGTAAAGTACACAGTCTGTGAATTCTAAAGAAACAATTTGTCTGTTTTGTGGTTTACAAATATGCACAAATTTCTGTTCTGTTAGATGAGAATATGGTTTATTTAGCTTTGGCTATGACATAGCAAAGGATGCCTCTCTCCAGAGGTGATCTCTCTCCTTGTGCATGGGGAGCTCCTGCCACTGGCAGCTGGCACAGGCTGCACTCCCTGCTAGGACCTGAGGTACCAGCAGGCACCTCCCAGCAAAGGGAACCCTGATTGTCCTGCACATCCCGCCAGCTGTCAGTGCAGATACACACAAAGTAATAATCTACTATCTACTATCTATGCAAGTGAACTAAGTTAGATCCTTGTGCACAAAGTCTTCATTGTATCCTGTTGAAACTCATTGTCTCTTTGCTCCAAGTTTAATCTGAAAAAAGGTGCAGGAGAAATTACAGTAATCCTCTCACAATACTGAGAGGGAATATTAAGAGGGTAGTGAAAAATATCAGGAACATGTGTACATGTCATCTCCTGCAGCACTGATTTACATCAATCCTATGGCATCTAGAGAAGAGCATAACTAATTCTAAAATATTCTTGAATTTCAGATTTCTGCCATTTTCTTCATATCATAAAAATTATGAGAAGTATGAGCCATCACTTTTTAAGTCAGACAAATATGGCCAAGAAGCTTATGGAACTAAATATTTCAGAGAAGTATATCCTAAGAAGTGGATAGCAGACAAGGTAAGTCACTGCAAAATCAAGTATTTATTTACTTTTTTGGATAATCAAGGATTTATTTACTTGTTTTATTAGAACTAAGTGAATTTCAGTGTGATCCAGAGATCATGCAGTCCAATAGCGTTCTTTCTAGCATGTTATAAAATCACGTAGTTAGAGCTGTGATGAGTTGTGAAATTTCCTTGACTCTCTGGTAGATTCAATTTGAGGAAATTCAACACCTGTTGCTCCTACAAGATCAGGATTTAAGACCCTGATTAAGTAAAGCTTCAGTTATATGCATTTTCTTAAGTTTCATTCTGTTTGATTTGCCTTTTCTGATTTAAGAGAGGTTGTATATTTACTCTAACACATTAAGATAAACTTCAGGATATTATAGGAAAACTTGATTAAACAACACAATATTTTAGTACTTACATTCTTTGGAAAAATCTTAAAACTAGTGAATAGCTGTTTTTTTATTTTAAGAAGACCTTATTAAATTGCCTGCTTTGTCAGGAGCATCTCATATATGTCTGATATTGTAGTGCTGTAAGAGGTAATTTTTCTCAGAGTTTGTGTAGTGTTTGCATTATTTGTATTTGTATTAGCTACCTTAATCACTTTCAAATTTCTGAGTACAAAAAGGGTAGTGAACTTTGGTTCTATGCTGCATTCTCTGCCAATACAGTTAGGGGACTGGAGCAAATTTGTAGGAGGAGAGGCTGAGACAGCTGGAACACTTCAGTCTGGAAAAGAGGAGGCACAGGGGAGATCTCATTAAAGTGCATGAACACCTCATGATAGAAAAGGAGGAATAAGACCCCAAACGTCTCAGACTCCATAGTGTCCAAAAAGGTTGTGTAATCTTTATCCTTGGATATATCAGTGGTCCAGGCAACCTGCTGTAGCTGAGTAGGGGGCCTGTAGAGGGTGATCTCAAGAGGTCTCTTCCTACCTGCACAATTCTGGGATTTTGTAAGATATGATAAATTATTTCCTTGAAAGCAATTTAACCTTTGTAAATATACAGCAAGTTCCAAGGAATCTTAGTTTGAGAAGGAACATTTTAAAAATATTTTTCCTCAAAACTTTATGGTTTAAAAATGAGCTGAGAGTAAAGTTTGGGTATTTCAACATGCAGTAATTATCTCCTTGCAAATAAAACATCAACAATCAAACAAACAGATTTCTGAATTTCAAAAGCAAGGAGTGGAAGATATGACTGGCCAAAGTCCCACAGCATAAGTATGATATCTAAAAAGGACCTAAATGCCTTATTTCTGGTACTCATCTTGTCCTGTAAAGACTTGCTTTTCCAGTTCTTAGCAGTTCTTGCTCAGGCTCAGATAATGATATCAAAACCCTGAAGATATTTATACTGTATATCATACCACACATATATAAAGTATGGGCTTAGCCAAAAAACTCTACTTGTGATCTTGGATAGATATCAACCTAAATCTCTGGCTGTGAATAGCTGTATACATTAACCCAACGTGACACAGAGCCTTCCCACCCCAATTCTAAATCAATATGAAGCTTCCATTAGCAGCCCCTTACCCCAGCAGAGAGATAAGAGGAGAAAAGGTCTATTTATGACATACCTACTGCTTTAATGGATCATTATTATCAGGAGAAAACCCAAAAAGGACCACAAAACCTCAAGCTCCCCATGGCAGTTTAATGGAAGAAGGCCTATATGCAAGTGTGATGTCATACTTTCCTGTTAAATTTAATAGAACTCTTTGTCACTTTCTCATTTCTAAACACTATGAAAATTTTGAATATATAAATGCAATGAACAAAATTATCTGTTCTAATGAATCACAAGACTGAAGGGCATGTAAAAAAAAAAAAAAGTATTTTTGCATAATAGCTTGTCTGCTGAACATAACTCTCCTCTGAGTTTACCACAAGGTTATATTTTTGTGTATGCAACTTCTATTAGAACATGAATAACTGATAACACTGCCACGATCTCTGTTCAGTTTCTGATAGTCTTATGCTAAACAAGTTTCTTGTGTTGTTGCTGGTAAGACTGGGTAAATTCTTCCAAGGAGTCAAGTCAGTGGTCAGTTGATCAGTGAGCCGCCTGAGCTGCTGAAGGGTTATTTGATGTCAGTTGATATTAGCTGGCTTTTTTTAATATTAAATACAAAAAGTTTCTTTGTGTCTGTGTGTGTACATGAGCATGTCCTAGTAGTATTTTCCTGAGGTTTTCATGTGTTTGTTACTATGCAATTTAATTCAAGTCACAAAAAGATTAGTATGTAAATTATATAATTAATTTAGAAGCAAAATGAGCAACAATGAAAAATATTACCTTGTTACATTTCTTCTGGAAAATGAAAGGATATTAGCATAGACTTCCTCTAAACATAATAATTACCATATCTATGTGAGGAAAAGTTAATGGTTCTTTTTTTCATCTAGTTATCATCTGAAATTTTTATCTCACTCCGTTTACATTTCAAAGAAATTTGAGTTAAGGAAAAAAGTGTTCTGTTCTAATTCTTTATTCTAAATAAACGGAATAGAAGTACTACACCTTTAGTGAAACTGAATCTAATTAGTTTACTTAGCAAATCAGTATAAAACATAAAACTGCTTACATGTTTTAAGTTTTACATTATTTATCTAAATACATTGAAATGCCTTTGATAGAATTAGTGTAAGAATTTTCAATATAAAAAATTTACTAGTCACTAGGAATTTGATGTATAATGATAGGTTCCAGTGCAGATGGACAGCCAAGGGATCAAATACACTAACTATAGTCTTTCAGCTGTCAAAACACTCACATATGTTCATATTTGCTGAGGCAGAAATAATAGCTTAGAGTCTTAATCGGTATTGGAATTAGTTTGCATATGCATTTTAGAAAACTGACTTTAATGTTTTCTTATTTGTAAAATTCAGGAAGGGATAGTTGAAGATGTTCCATTCTGATAGATTCTTCCCTCTGATGCCTTATTATAGGTGAATTACAATACAACTGAATCACAGTTTCATTATTTGCACAGGCATTTTGGCCCGAAACAGGATTTTATTACCTACAAAGCATAAAAAATACCCAGGACTGCGAAGAATTAATTTAGAGAACCTAAGCATATTGCACAGAACATAAAGTTGACCTTTACCGTCTACAGCTTTTGGAATGGAGTGGGATGTGGAACACATCGTAGATTTAATGTGGCACAACGCTGTCTGCAGAAACTTGGGTGGGACTGTGACTGCTTGCCCATTGCACCCGATGATTGAATCTGCTGTCACCAGCATCCTGATAATAATGAACATTCAGCTTAACGACCGTGATTATGATTATCATAATTAATGTGCAAGTGCAGTGTGTGGGGATCATTACAGCTGAACTGTACAGCAGAGAAACATGCCTTAGTTATAGATAATTTTACTTTTATGCATTGATTGGGATAAAATATGCCTTTCAAGTTCAACAGGCCAGCTTGATATAATTTTAGTAAGATTTCTACATGTATGAATTAATGTTTATGAGCTTCCTGAAAAACATTCATTTTAGCTGTTTGTTTTGAATTGTTTCATTCCATTAATAATGGGAAATAATTAAATAATTAGATGTCGTCTAGTGGAAATCACTTATAGAGTATTGCCAGCATTAATCAAATATCAACTTCAAATTATTCTGATTATCATGGCCTTGCCTGGGCTAGGAAACATAGCTCTTGTAATTCACCACCAACACAATTCTATTTCTGGTGGAGCAATGGAAGCAGGGGTGTGGTCATCACTGCTGGCATTTTCACACTGTACTGTGTAGCCATTAGAGCAGGCAATAGCTGTTCTATATATAAATTATATCACTTCCACCTTTGTCACCAGAGGCAGAGAATTGCAGTCTCAGATTCAGCCAGTGCAGATAAAGGCACAATCAAGAGCTTCAGTCAATTTTGTTGAACAGTGATTGCCTTCAACTGTGATTGCATGAAGTTGCAGAAGTATTTAATTAAATCATGACATACGTAACAGATAAAAACAAGTATGAGTATATAACTCAAGCCAGAATTTATATAAAGGATGTTGTAACATAAGTATAATGAAAAGTATAATTTCATTGCTTTACACTAGGCATAAATTTGGCTCTTTGTCCAGGCACTGACAGATTTTCCATCTGGGTTAATAGAAAAAAGAGAAAAAATTCTTGTAGTGGATGAAAGAGATTTTTTCTGTTTGAAAATTAGTTTTGTCTCTTGCAGAGCCAACACATAAAACAGTCATGTCTAGTGAATGATGTCATTACCAGGCAGAATTTTTGATACACTCTTTGTGCTTTTCCTTCCCTGTCTATACTGAAATTTACTTAAATTCCACCTTAACTCCATTTTTCTAACCTTCCAGCGATTTGACTTGAGATCATAGGTATGATCTGTGTGAAGTTTTAAATTCTTTCTTGTTCAGACTGTGACTTTATTTTTATCAAAGGAATTTGCTTGTTTTCATTTTAATTAGAAAAAAAAGATTATCCAAGAACGTTTTCTAGTAGGGCATAATACTGGATAATGAATGTGCATCTGAATTGTCAGCTTCATTACCTTTTAAAACTTTAAAGGCCATATTTACCAGTGTGCTTTGTGACAGAAGTGCTAGTGCATATTTGGAATATCAGATTCCTAGTTCTTCAATCCACCCTCAGTGTGTTTTCTTGGGCAATACAGATCTCACAAAATGTGGCAGCCAGAAGGGAATTATTAGATGGGCTGTAGGAGTTCCAGTCCTGGTTTCCCCATGAGCCATGTCAGGGCTAATAAGGGTTGTTGCCAAAGTGGGATGCACTCCAGCGATCCCCAGCCCATGACGTGGCTCCTGTATGGTTATTACTGCTGACATGACTTGATGCATCTATTCAGATTTCCGAGTGGACCCTGAGTTTGATTTATAAACTATCTTCTTCCAGCAAAACACTGCTTTGTCTCACTTTTGTTTTTTGCTATCCCCAGTCCTGCACCCAAACAAATAATTTAAATCCAAGGATCTGGTCCTAGAAC